GGGAAAAAGTGTCATTTTCCCAAAAAAAATTACAAACACATTCCTTTTGTTTTGGCTTACAATCGGCCGTGATTTGCGGAAGTTGATGTTGGCAGGCAGGGCAGGGCAGCGCAGGCAATGGTCGGTCAGCTTGGTGTTATCCTAAACTTTCAATTGAATTTTGCCCACTTTTTCCGTATAAAAACACTATTCCCAGAAATTAAATAAATTCAAATCGGCGGTCCTAAGAGCATCCACACTAAGGGGATAATGTGGAGTTATTTCAGAAGAAATCTCTTGAGTAGGGTTATTCACAAGTGTGGGATGGAGTTATTAGATGGGAAACGCGCACAGCAAGGCCATAACCTGGCGCGTGCACTGCACGCGCCAGGTGGCGCGTCAGGCGCGCCAGTCTGCGCGACTGGCGCGCCTGACTTATACTTTCTTTATTTTTTTTTTTAATTTTTTTTATTCTGTTTTGTTTTATTTTATTTATTTTTTCTCTCCCCTCCTACCTTCTCTTTCCTAATCACTCTTACATTATTCCCACATTCTTCCCAACTAATGTTGATGCTCTAAGTAATACCACTTCAACAACCTACCTAACTATGAACTGCAATAAATGCATTTCTATTAATTAACTTTTACTCGTTAATATGACAAAAGATAATAAGTTATCCCTATCTTGTAATTCACAGAAATTGTTAATATCAAAAATTTTGAGAAAGTAAAGTTGAGTGTAGAATTTGTGAATAAAAATAGTATTTTCTTTCTGCTAAAAGCAAATTAAAGTCTAACACATGAAATCTCATATTTAGAAAATTTTTACTGATTATCATTTAATCTGCATATTGATTTGTGAGAACACTTTATGCGATAAACTAAGACCAATCTCAAGTAACAAGCTAGCTAGTTGATTGCATTGATAATATGGAGATGGATGGGGTTTTGTCACCTTAGCCTTTTGTTTTACCTTTTCAATTGTAACATGTGACTTGCTCTTAATTGTCACACTTCTAAGCCTTGTTTAGTAATATAGTTAGTTTATTCATTAATTTTGACTTATATAATCATTATTAGCTATTTGACTTAGTTAAACCATCAATATGAGTGTCTGATTAATTAGTTTTTGTAACACTTTATTGCTTCAAAATACTAAAATTAAAAAAACTGCTCAAAATAGCTTTTTCGATTAGTTTTTTTAAAAAGTCGTTTTGAATGTAATTTTTGTTTTGAATGTAATTAATTATCAACTAACAGTTAATTTATTAAACACTTTTCTACAATCAGCTAATAATATCAACTAGTCAACCCACTAACCCAATCAGCTAATAACTATTTACCAAACATCCCATAACTCTTTCTATTAAACTTATCCAAAAAAATAAAAATTATGATATGTTTTTGAGTTACAAGTTATACTGACCGTGCAATAAAAGCCACGCAAGCACTCCCAGTTCCTATCTAAAAACATAATAAGTTTCAATTCAAGTTATATCTCTAGTTTATGTCTGTTTTTTCTGTTAATTTTTTTTGTACCTTATGCTATAAAAGTTATACTACATAATTTTTTGAACAAAAATATCACTGCCGTTATAACTTCTGTTATCTTTTTACATTATTATTACCATGTACATGAATACACAATATTTTCTCACCAGCAGGGTTCGATCCTGTATCTTTTTTCTGTACTGTTCCTATGAGCAATGAAGTCACCTTCATCTTTTTATTATTCTTTTCGTAGGAAAAAAAAAAACCTTTTATTTATGTTATAATTTCATGTATTTATTGTAAATTAAAATTTATGATATCATTGATTGCTTAGCTTTTGGATCTTACCTTAATCTTAAATCATTGATAACTTGATTTTGTGGATTGTAAGGTCGTGTACCACGTTAGAATGTGGGATTTGGACTTGCTTGATTTTATGGCCAAATGAAATTAATAAATGAAAACGAGCTTCATCAAACATTGAATCATGGAAGCGAAGACTCCCATACATATCGGACAACCTAATTTAATTTGAAAGGACGTAATTATTTTATTTAAATTGTTGAATAATAAGTATGGACGTAATTAGTTATAGCTCACTTTTTATTTTTGAATCAATTAAAACATTTTCATGTAAACAGATATTAAAGTAGCGAAAATTTGTCAAGCACCTTGTGCTCGGACACATGTAGTGACATTTTTCATGTGAGAGGTTATGATATTGAGCTTCAATGGAGGCGTTGTTAAATCTATGTGCTTCATTCAATTGAGAAAATTTGATACTACAATGTAATAAAGTCAATAATATAATTTCTATTTTTGTAATCGACTGTTGAGAAGCTTATATTTCATCATGTTTTATCTCCTATTTAATGCTTGTGCTTAAAATTTAGATATTATGTTTAAAATGATCCATATTTATTTCATTTAATCAATTAGGTACAAATAATATTGTTTAAGCAAAATGATCGATTTTGCATGTACTTTGGAAGAAAATCGAATCAAATGGGTCGTTGGAGGTCAAAAAGGAAGCCAAGGAGATATTCACAACACTTTTTTAGATACCATAAAAGTAGCTTTTCAATAGTCTTGATAATTTGGACAAATCAAGTCGTCAAAAGTGGAGTAAGGGCATCCTCAATAGTGGAAGTTTTGGTGTGATTTTTGATAAGTTTTTATAGGTGTAATTAGGAAAGAGAAAATGAGAAGATAGATAAAAAAAAATAAAAAGAAAAAAATAGAACTGACAATAGGAAACACGCGTCCGCTGGAGCGCAGAGTGCGCTGCAAACGCTGCTTTTACGTTTTTTTTTTTTAATTTTTAAATTCCTGCAAAATCCTAATGTGTTGCCGAAAAAAAAAAAAAACAAAAAACCTCATGAAAAGCTTTGTTTCCTATTTGTCTAAAAACTTCACCTTTGAATTTTACTATTCAAAAGTCTCCATAAAAGCCACAAATGGAGATGCTCCAAAAAACATGAAGTTACATTCATCACTCAACGTGATCATTATTTGATATATTCTTCCCAATTGTAAATTTTATATAATTGTATATAATCATACACACACGCAAACAATTATATATATAACATAATAATATTATAATTACAAAATACAAATATTACATATAAATTATATTAATCTTAATTACTCCGTATAAGTTAAATAAATTATACTTATATTACAAATTAAAATTAAAATCTAATGATATAAACATACATTATTTGTGTGTGTATAATTATATATAATTACATAGTCAAGGACCTTGTAGTCACACCAAATTGCTTCCTTATAAGGGAGGTTGTGGGATCGAGCTTCAATGAAGATCATATTGATTCTTTAATTTGTGCTTCAATAGATTGAGAAAGTAATTACGAACAGATACTGCATTGTAATAGAGTCAGAAGTATTCAAAAAAATATATAATTAATATGGAACTTTTTATAAAAGTTTTGATTGAAAAAACAAATATATTAATTGTTAATTTAGATGTTAGATGCTTAAATCTTGAATTATACAAAGCAGCATGCGTCCTTTATCCATTCTGTTAGTCCAACTTATCATTTATTTGTCAAATCAAATTTATTTTTAGTTTTTTTTAAAATATTTATTACTTATTTTTAAATTTCATTTGTTGTGTTTAATAGTATTTTTAGTGCAGTTTCTAAATATATAATTTTGCATACTAACACTAAATTTAATATTATGAAAAATTAAATTAAAAATGACTTCAGTCAAGTCTTATTAACTGAATCAGATACATAAAATGGAACGAACGGAGTAATATTTTACAACTTAAATATTCATTAATAATAATTGGGGTGACAAGTTAGCATGATTAGCCATCCAATCCACTATTGACGAGTTAAGTTACAAAAATGTTACACAACCAAAATCATTTTCTATTATTACCATATACATGCATCAACTATATATTTTCATCGATTATTTAATCAATTAGTGGTAATATATGTAAACATTATATTAAAATAATAAAATCAACAAAACATTATAAATAAAGATGGATAATTACAAGCTAAACTTTATTTACATTTTAATATGTAATGATTAGTTATTATTTCCTAAAAATAAATGTTAAAGTTATAAAATTGGTTTAAAGTATTATTATGGAAAAGTATAAGCTTTTTCAAATTTGATAATCAAAATCTATTACTTTAATAAATTGTAAAAGATTGTTATGACTAAAATTTTTAAATAATTTTACATGATTTTTTTTGAAAGGAATTTTACATGATTATTATTGCTTTAATATTGGACAAATTTTTTTTATTTATTTATCCCCTATATATACTATATATACACTAGTCCATAAATATGTAGCAAATTTAATAAATTAGGCATTTAAAAAAGAGTAAATACTCAAAATGGTCCCTCAACTATAGCTAAATTTACAAATTGGTCTCGATTTTCAATTTTAACCAATTAAGTCCTTAACTTTGCAATTTTAACATGATTTGGTTCTTCGAACACTTCTGCATTAACGCCAACGCCCACGCCGTCATCGACGATCTCCAGAAGAACCCGCAGCTCTCACCGGAGCACATGGAGGCCTCCAGGATGACGCTGCACCGGTTCGAAAACACGTTGTCTTCTTCAATCTGGTACGAACTCAACTACATTGAATCCAAATGGAGGATGAAGAAAGGCGACAGGATTTGGTAGATTGCTTTTGGCGATGGATTCAAATGTAACAGTGCGGTCTGAAAATGCAACCGGAACCTTAAAAAATCAATGATGAACCATGAAATTACATATATATCCTCAAAAATCACAGTCAACAAACAGTCAAATAGACGGAGGACTAAATCGTGTTAAAATTACAAAGCTAAAAACTTAATTGGTTAAAATTAAAAATCACGAACTAATTTGTGAATTTAGCTATACTCGATGGACCATTTTGGATATTTATTCTTTACAAAATGAATACAAATAATCCACTAAAATTGTGAGATTATAGAATTCTTCCCCGGTATAGTACGGAGTATGACTGAACGTCCAAATCTTGTCTTTTACTGTCTTTCACTCTTTCTTTCTTCCCGCTTTGCTTTACTTTCTCGTTACCTTTTTTGTCTCCTCTTTCTCTCTCTCTCTCAATCTCTCTCACCCTTCATTCTCCTTTGATTTGATTACGATTAGTGAAGAAAACTGTCCTCCGTTGGATTGCGAAACTAGTTTGCTGATTCTCTGGAAAGGTTTGTTTAATTTGTTTGTTGAATAAAGTGAATTGAAGAAAGAAATGGAGTGGGAGAAGCAGCTAGCGCCTCCGCCTCCGCCGCCGCAGCAGGCGGAGGAATTGGGCGGAGGAATGTTCGTAAAAGTGATGACAGACGAGCAAATGGAAGTCCTCCGCAAGCAAATCGCCGTCTATGCCACCATTTGCGAGCAGCTCGTCGATTTGCACAAATCTATCGCTTCCCAACACGATCTTGCTGGTCCCCTCTCTCTCTCTCTTTCTGTTTCTTCAATTTTGGTGGCAATTTTCGTTGATTTTCAAAAAAAGAAAAAAAGAAAAAAAAAGATCAAAATTGAATCGTTATCATACTATCAGTTGAATGTCAGTATGTCACAACAGTAACTACCATTTGTTCTTCTTCCTGAGATTACTGTGAAAAATTCTGCTATTTTTGAGTGTTGAACATTGCATAATCTAAATAAGGAATTTGTTTCAAATTTTATCACAAAATGAAATTCTTGGAAAAATTTTACTGTACCTTTTATCACTGCACAAGTATCTTAGTTGGTCAAACCTTTTTGAGTGTTCACATGATTTTCTTTAGTCTCCTCCTTTACCCAAAATAAACTAGTAAATGTTATAAACTCAATCTATATATACTTAAGAAAAATTTCTCATCCAGCTAGATCCTTAATCCTCAGCAAAATGATCTGAAACTTAGTTTGATGTCTTGAGGTGTAGTCATAATGAGTGGCTAAACTTCCAATTATTAGTGACTTTATGAGTTTTAGGAATCTTTATTATGATGGGTAGATCATGATCAATTGGTTTCCCTGCTTAGAGTTTTGGTCCTGGATCTACCATCATTACTAGAATACTAATTCTGGAACTTACTAAGATTATTTAATTTGTTTTTATTGTGGTTGGATGAGCAAGTGAATTATGGTAGCCAAATTTGGGTTTGAATCATATATTACTTAACTATTATGGCTTCAAGTTTGCTCTTGAAATCATTAACCTTTGGGCTTCCAAATTACTTTGGATTTGTTGCTTTTATAGGATTACTATAACCATGTCTCCATCTGACCATATATGAATATATCAGCGTAAATTGGAATTGATTTCTAGTCTGTTCTTGATGTCTCAGGAGCGAGGCTGGGGAATCTATATTGTGACCCATTAGTGACATCGGCTGGCCATAAAATAACGGGCAGACAGCGGTGGACTCCAACGCCTGTGCAGCTTCAGATTCTTGAGCGAATATTCGATCAGGGCAATGGAACTCCAAGCAAGCAGAAAATCAAAGAGATAACCTCTGAACTGTCGCAGCATGGCCAAATTTCTGAAACGAATGTTTACAATTGGTTCCAAAACAGGCGTGCTCGATCGAAAAGAAAACAGCAGGTTACAGCAACGAATAATGTTGAATCAGAAGTGGAGACCGAGGTTGATGAGTCACCCAATGATAAGAAGACAAAGCCAGAGGATTTTCAGTCCTCTCACATCGCAACTTCAAGGGCTGAAGATGTCTGCTACCAAAACCCTCTCGTCAGCTCGCCTATGCATTCCATTGATCCAAGAAGTAGTAAAGCCGAGCCTATGTTTCCTTCAGAGAGTACTTCAAAACCTGCTGGGAATTTCGCCCAAATGTCCTTCTATGGCTTATCAAATCCAAGTATGTATTTATGATAATTTTTCCATCATTAAGCGGTATTTTTTCATCAATAGTGTTCTTTGTTGAGCATATAACCATTAATGTGCAATCCTTTTCTATCAGCTTAGACTTTTAGTTGAGATGGAGCACGTGCTTTAATTTGGTATCAGAGCCAGACCAAAGGTCATGGGCACGTGCTTCAATTTTCTTGGCATTTTAAGTGCTCTGAAGGTTTTTGCACTGTCACGAAAGGAAACTAAGTATAACTACATATCATGTCGAATATGTTATTTCGAGTAATTTACTCACAAGTGTATTATCCTATTATGAGCAGCTGCCAGTGGGGAATATAATACTAAAAATTGTAACTTTCAGGAATGGATCATCAGATGATTGGAAAAGTTGAAGTTCCGGGGAGCTATAATCCTTATCTTAATGCAGAAGATTACAATATGACGGGTTGAAACCTTTTGCAGCAGAAGTTATAGGGATATTTAACAAATTCAGATTGAACATGGAAGTCAAGCAAACTTGTGCTGGAGTCACGACGTTGCATTGATTTGGCGTCTGATGCATAGTAGCCAGTTTCATGGAAATATATATATATTCCACATAGACGACGCGTAAAATATATAAGTTTAGTGCATCATTTTTCAAAACTAGTTCTCGATCCATTAGCATAGAGTGAATGTTGCCTGGTTTCTATACAATCTTTCTGCTTTGTTGGCTGATTTGTATCAGTGTTTTCAGTCTTTTAATTTCAAGACAAAAGTATGTGTTCACAGTGGTTTCTTCTTCATTCTTTTATAAACCAATTTTTCATTTCAGTGAAAATGTGAGATGAAAATAGCTTCATAAACTGAATAGATTGTGGTATATATCCAGATAGATGAGTTTTTCAATCAGGGTTTGTCGTATAGGTTGTCTTTTCAATCATGTGATGCACAGAAGTTGCGAAATTTCCTTACTTTGAGAATGGTTTATTGATGTATATATAGTATTTTCTGTTTGTGTGTGGCAATGTACATAAATGTTACTTCTATTTATATAGACTAATTAATTATATATATTCTAACCAAACTAAATAACTAATATAAGAACATAATTTCTTAACTAATTAGAGTCTCCATCTCCTTTTCAATCTTGATATTGAATAGGTATCATTTTGATGACCAAGTTGCTGCACTATTTTTGCTTTAATCAACAAAAATCTTTCTTTATGCCTTCACGATTATGCTACCAATCTATCTTTACAACCGATATTACAACCCGTTTAGTTGGATGTAATATTCAGTGTAGTTGCATTGCAATTCGTTTCTTTCCTCAATTACGTTGTTTGGTTGGATGGAATTGCAATTCCCTCCATTTACCGAATTGTAATTCATGACAATTTTTGTGGAATGAGATAATATATTGTTGTGAAGACAATTTTACCCCTTCATTATTCTCATCCATTCCCTCATTTATTATTATCTAAGGGCATTTCAGTCACTGTATCACTTATTCCCTTTAACCCATTTCTGCATGCCAAACACTGTTGATACTGCTAATTACGCGCAGGCAATATATAACAACACGAGACCAATTAAAGCAAGTAAATATCTTTATTGATCCCGGTAAAGGCCCTAAGTACAATCTACTTGGTTGCTCTGAGTACCGACTGACTGCGGTCGGGATTCTCTAACAACAACCTATCGATCGTCCAAAAGTCCCTTACACTGTAGCTACTGTGGGTATTTATAGCCGCTATGCCGGGGACAGGATTCCAGCCGTTCGGCATGTCCTCCACGTAGCCACCACGTGTCGCCCTCCCGGGTGCCCTGTCTGTCGCCGTAGAGAATCGCCACGTGTCTTTCGTCAGCTCTCTCGCCGAAGGGCTACCACTCGGCAGTCGACACCGTCGCTCGGGCAACTCCCGGTCGGCCCCCGACCGGGTTCTTCTCAAGGAGCCCGACCTGCTACCTGCAAAGACAAAGAGAAAAGGACAAAGGTTTCTCGGTCGTGGTGAAGCTATGTCGGTCGGGATATTCCCTACCAAGAGCCCCCCAGCCCGGGCCTTTTTGATCGTCCGGGAAAAAATGGGCCGGGATGGAGAAACCCAACCATCGGCCGCTAAACCGACCGGCCAGCTGTCATTCCCTTCTCCGCCACGTGTCGGCCACTGCCGGCCTCTGCGACTGCAACCGTTGCCTCGGAATCAGCGCGGGTCGTGTCGCGCAAGTGGACGACTTTCCCGCCTAAATGTCCTCCTATAAATAGGCCCTTGAGGCCCTCATTTGAACTTTCCTCAATCTTCTGAAGCAATCGGTACCCTCAGAGAGTCCCGAGCAGCAGATCAGCAATCCGACCAAGCAAAGCAAAACTTCAAATCCTCTTCAAAGTTTCTTCACTCGGTAAGCTCCTAGCCCTTCTCCTTTCTTTACACTTTCATGTTAGGTAGAGCTGCTAGGTCAACTAATTGTCCCGGACACTTTAAGTCCCTCACTAACCCCGACCGACCTTTAGGTAGATTGAAATGACGGACTCTGACAGTCAGAACGCGTCGATCGCGGATTATGACGAGGAGGTCGAGCACCTCAGCGACGAGGAGGTGGACATCATGTCCTACTCCCCCGAAGCTACCAGCCGACCGGGGCCAGCCCCCGAGCAGGCCGCCGCACAAGACACGTCATCCAGCTCATCCGGGTCGTCGAGCTCTAGCTCAAGCGGATCGGGGAGCTCCGACGAGGAAGAAGAAGAAGAAACCACGTCGGGGAGACAAGGATCCCCGACCGAAGGCGTTAGGGAAACGCCCACCCGGGTGGTTGGGGACCACCCGAGTCCTGCTCCCGAGCCGGCCGAAGAGGACACGGCCGGGCCAGCCGCCCCAGCCGTAGCGGAGTTCGAATTCTTGAACAGCGAGAATGTCGAACAACAAATGAGTCAGCTAACCAAGGGCGAGGCGGCTAGGATTGCCGAAAGGCTCGTGGGTCGGGTAGAATTTGACACGAGCCGGCAGTTAGGGAATGTCATCGATCGGCATCGGGGCAAATGGATTGGGATGCACTACGACTCCCTGATGGCCCCGATCGCCATTCCCTTCACCCCCCTCCTGAATGCCTTCTTGGCCTACTACCGGGTCGTCCCGACCCAGATCTGCCCTAATGCGCACCGGATCATCGCCTGCTTTTCGCAGATATGCGCTCGGCATGAAGCCGCCTGCACGATGGAGCTGTTCAACTTCATCTACCAGGTCAAAGTTCTCCCGGGCAACTATGGAGGCGGGTTCCTGATGTTGCAATCCCGGGCCGATATGTGCACAATCAAAGGCCTGCCCGGGAACAACAGGGGGTGGAAGAATAGGATCTTCTCCCTCAAATACGACCCCTGGATCCTCCCGGTTGATCGCGCTTGGAGCACCCACTTTCGGAAACAAGTGGTGCCGGTCGAGACGCAAGCGCTGAGGGAAACGGTCAGCCGGATTTCGAGCGAGCTGCACGAATACACAATCTTCCGGACGGCTGAAAGTCTCGAGGCGGCTCAACTCCCGCCCCCCACGTACGAGCTGCAGGAGAAGTATCTGCCCGTGCCGATGGGCGTGACGGTCGCCAAACCTGCGAGGCGAACGAAGAAAGGTTTAACTCGAGCTACCCCTCCCGACTCATCTTTATGCCTCGATCACACTAACGATCTCTTTGTTTTGCAGCTATGGCAGACTTCGGTGAAGAAGAGGCCCCCCTTCCCCCGCCCGCCAAGATCTCCCTTGGCGGCAAGAAGAAGAGCAAGGCGAAGCCGGCCGGGGAGAAGGAGGTCCCCTTGGCCCGACCGCTGAGTACCTCGACCGTGACGACGGGCGAGGGCTTCATCGTCGAGCCCTCCGATGTCCTGGTCACCCGGGTGGAAGTCGCCCGGGGAAAAGAGAAGGTGCCCGAGCAGGGCGTGAAGGAGGTGGGCGGCATAAAACGCCGCCGTGAGCAACGAAGCCCGAGCCCTTCGGTTGGGCGAGAAAGGGACGGCTCGTCCATCTTGTCCCGCATTGGCAATGCGGGGCGGGCCAAGGAAGATCTGGGGAAGATGACCCCGACCCAGGTAGCCGAGAGGATCGGCTACGACCTGGCCGAGGTAAACCTTCTTGAACTATCCATCTTTCATCTTTTGTGCAAGTGCCTTCAATCGGGCTAACCCGTCTATTTTCGCCTTCGCAGATCTCCCGAGCAGCCCAACTCCTTCAGGGCCGGGCTATGCTGGCCGAGGAGGCTGATCACCACAAGAAGACGGCCGCCCGTCATCTTCTGGAGGTTAAAGAGCTCCAAGCTGAGCTCGAGAAGGTCCAGAAGGCCTTGAAGAAGAGCGAGGAGGACCGGGCCCTCGCGGAGAAGGTCGCCCAGCGGGCTATCGGCGAGAACAAGGAGCTGAAGACCCGGAGGAGCTGGCCCATTCGGCCTTCAAGGACGACCAGATCGGCTCGGCCTTCCTTACAGCTGCTCGGAGGACCAAGGTCGGGGAGGACCTGATTCTCTCCTTTGGTCGGTGGGCCTTTAAGGCCGGCCAAAGGAAGATGCTAGAAAAGGCCCAAAAACGGTTGGGGGAAGCCCTCGAAGGCGACGACCTCCAGCTCGTACTATCTGCCCTTCCTCCCGATCTAGCTGATCCCGGCCCCTCTCCCTTTGCTCCGAAGGAAAGAACGGCTGAGCCCGGTGGAACCTCAGCGGCTACCCCGAGCGGAAAGGATACGGCTGCCGGAGCTCGGGAAACGAAGAAGTAGAATAGGCTTCTTTTCTTCTTCTTCTTTTTTGTAAGGACCATTGATCGGGAGCCCGGTCCCGATTTGTACCGGGCACTCCATTATATCAATGAAACTTATTTTTGTTAAACTCCCACCGCTCGTTCTCTCTTTTCGAATTTTTATCATTAGTCATGTAAACGCCTACCCTCATTGCTCGACCTCGCGGCCTTTTTGGCCCGGCCTTGCACTGCTCGATCCGTTCGACAGCCGACCTTATGGCTTTATAGCCCGGTCATGCGTCTGAGATTTCGACATCAAACTGGCCAACCTGATCAGGTTTATCCGATCTTCAGGCCTTGTCGAAATTCCTGAAAATAGATTCGTCCTAATATTGACCTATCCGACCAAGTTGACCCGGTCTCCAGGTCTTGATGAATTTTCGAAAAACAAGCCCCACGGTCAGGATATACCGAGCGACAAATTTCCGAAAGACAAGCCCCACGGTCAGGATATACCGAGCGACATGGGCCTATCAACACTTCATATATCCCAGCCCCCACACTATTGTGCCTTCGAGGCACGAGTGGGTGCGATAGTGGACAGAAGTTGGACGAATCGGGGAATTATGCTGTGAGCTCCTAGCTTCCCCGATCAATGGCGTGACTCGAATGTCCGCCGATGTGGAGCGCATCTGACCGGTCGATAGATTCGCCCGGTCGGTGTAGCTTGAAGATAAATTGATCTGCATGCACTGAAGATATAGAAAATAACCGATCGGGCCGCCGTATGCAAACGGTCGAGCAATCTCCGATCGTAAATACATTAATCCTTCCCGCTCGCAGGCGGTTTAGTAAATATTCACAAACTTAGGAATTTAATTACAAGCGACGACCGGGACTTACACGCAGGTCAAACCCCCTCTTCGTCCAAAGATTACAAAAAAGAGGCCTAATGCCTAAACATAACGAGGTGCTCGGAATTCCAAGTCCCCTCGATTACCCGACCAGTTGTCGTCTCCAGTCGGTATGTTCCCGGCCGTATGATCGCACTGATGATATACGGCCCCTCCCAGTTCTGAGCT